GAATGTTTTCCCAACCTTTTGTCCCCTAAGTTGGCCGACCTGCGCTCTCCTTCGTTTATTTCGATGGGAGGGAAGGGAAATAAAACTCCCGTTTTAATGTGGCAACCGCCTGGGACGTTGCTAGGCAACTCCCCACGCTCTGCAGAGCTTGCCCCAGGGGAGGAGGGTGGCATCTCTCCCTCCTGCGCCAAAGAGCATCTTCAGTCATTAGTGTCTTTTTAAAAATATATGCACTTTTGCATTGATTTCAGAGAGGACGGGAGAGAGGACATCCATGATGAGAGGGTATCATAGATCGGCTGCCTCCTGCACGCCCCACACTGGAGACCTGCAACCCGGGCCTGTGCCCCGACCGGGAATGGAACTTCCTGGTTCACAGGTCGGCGCTCAACCACTGAGCCACCCCAGCCAGGCAGGTTCATCTTAATTCGTAACTGAAAGAAGATAGAAAAATTACTATAATGCTCATCTATAACCCTAGAAAGTGTGAAAAAGAAACACAGGCTGCCATTTTGAGTTACAAAGCGTGAGCCAGCATGGGTCCGTGTCCGGGACTGTTGCCATGATGGCTTAGGAACAGCCGAGGTGAAGACTAAAATGACTACGCTAATGAGAGTCAGAGTCACACATACTGTTACCCAGGTTGAGCATCGTCCCCTGTGGCTTGTCGGATTCTATAAATGGTGCAAATGCAACCCTCCTTGAAGAAAAACAAGTTCGTTTTTTTTTCTTTGTAGGTAGATCCACATGTTTGTGGCAATGTATATCTATACGTGCATTCACATGATTTGATATGGGTAGTCACTAAAAATAAAAATGTCTTTTTCCTTCTTGTGGTTGAGCAAACAGGAGAGACAGAAGATGAAGCGGAACAGAAAAGGATCCGAAAGAAAAAGGAAAACAAGAAGAGAGATGCGGGGACCCCCGTGGCCTTGGGGGCCGAGCCCGCTCCCCCACCTGGTGCTCCTGTAAGAGGCCCGAGGAAGAAGGCTTCGAGCTTCTTCTCGGAGCTCCGGGAAGAGCTGCGGTGTGCCCCCTCCGTGACCCTCCCGGAGGCCCCCGCAGGCCCACAAGCCCCTGGGGCAGCAGCATCGCCCTCTCCCCTGAACAGGAGGGAGCCGGTGGAAGTGGTGGAATTCCACAGCAGGAGTAAGAAAAGGAAACAGAGGCTGGATCAAGATGAGAACGCCAAGGTAGTGAGCTGGTTACTTTATGTGTCTGGGATGGAAACCGTGATATTGTGGAACAAGGTGAATATCGTTAAAGGCGATGTCAGGGGCCCCCAAGACCACACCCTAGCCTGGGGGACTTGCCGAAAGCTCTCGTGGGACTCAGCATGCAGTCACTATCACGGTTATGTTTTTACTGGGGGGTTTTTTTTGGGGCGGGGGGGTAGAGAAAGAGGAAGGGAGAGAAAGAGAGAGAAGTATCAATGACATAGAAACATTGATCAGCTGCCTCCTGCACGCCCCACACTGGGGATCAAGCCCACAACCTGGGCACGTCCCCTGACCGGGAATCGAACCAGCAACCTCTTGGTTCATGGGACGACGCTCAATCCACTGAGCCACACTAGCGGGGCATATCACAGTTATGACTTATTGCAGCAAAAGGATACAGAGTACAATGGGCCAGGGGGACAGGTACCTGGGCAGGCTGGAGGAACCCAGGCGCAGTGCCCAGGGGTCCCCTCCCAGGGGAGCTGCCTGGGATGTGCTGACTCCCCAGCAGTGAAAAGCAGCTTGAGTTTACTGAGCAGCAATCTCTCTTAGACAATTGGTAAGTCTCGCTTGAAATTCAGTCCGTGGGAGAGGTATGGTTGCTCAGCCAGGCTTGGCCACCATTTGTTAAGCCTTTTACCCTTTACCAACGTCTAACTGGCAAAGGAAGCTCCTAATCCTGCCCACTTACAGAGTAGTGACCACAGAAGTAGTTTGACAGGAATAGTAGTAAGAGATCGCTCATCCATTCATTTATTTACCCACAAATAACTGAGTGCCTGCTCTTGGGCAGACCCAGGAGATCAGCAGGGAACGAGACGCAGTCCTTTCCTTCCAGGAGTGGACCATCTGCTGGTGGAGGCAGGCGAACACCAGGAAAACGAACAATATCATGAAACAGAGTTATAAACGCTCTGAAGGAAAGTTGTAGGTCCGAGGACGTGACATTAGACCGACTGCCCTGTTAAAGGCTTTTGTGACTTGAGGCAGAGGGAAGGCTGTGTGGCAAGGACCCCGAGGTGTGGAAAGGCCCACTGAGTCCGGAAGCTGGTAGGCGAGAGGAAGTAGGACAGAGGGGAGGTGTGAGCTTGGGAAAGGCAGCTGCCTGGCCCCTGCCAGGTCCCGCAGGCGACAGCAAGGCCCTCAGGTTTTAGTGCCAAGTACATGTGATGCCACCAAAAAAGTTTAAGCAAGGGCATGAGGTGGATTATAACTGAAAAAGGTCACTCTGGCCCTAGCCGGTGTGGCTCAGTGGATAGAGCATCAGCGTGCGGACTGAAGGGTCCCGGGTTTGATTCTGGTGAAGAGCACATGCCCGGGTTGTGGGCTCGATCCCTGGTGTGGAGCGTGCAGGAGGCAGCCGATCCATGATTCTCTCTCATCAATGATGTTTCTCTCTCTCTCTCCCCTTCTCCCTTCCTCTCTGAAATCAATTTAAAGAAAAGATCACTGTGCCCCCTGCCCGGTAAGTGGGTTACAGGTCGGCTCGTCAGCTCCGTCTAACGAGGCAGGAGGGGACTGAGGCAGGGGTCCTCGTCCAGTGGAGTGGCCTGGGCTTGGGATTCAAGGAGCGAGTGGCGAGCCCACTCTAAAGGGCCTTGCAGCACTGCCAGTGGGTGAACAGTAACGGCGCTTCTCAGGAAGTGTCATTTATAGTTTAGATGATCTGAGTGTTGTTTGGCCCTTACGACCATGTCTTCGTGCCCTTTCTCCACCCCTCACGTCCGTCCATCACTGTCCCGTTCATGAACCTTAGCCTCTTCTGTGGCCTACCTAGAAAGGGGTAAGAAAAACCTAAGAGAAGTAATCGCCTGGCTGGTGTGGCTCGGTTGAGAGTCGTCCCTTGTGACTCGGGGTCATTGGATTGATTCCCGGTCAGGGCACATGCCTGGGTTGTGGGCTCGATCCCCAGTGGGGGTGTGCAGGAGGCAGCCGATCAATGTTTCTCTCTCTCAAGTCAATAAAAATATATTAGAAAAAAATGTACTAGAACAGTGCACTGAGAGCCGAAGGGATCTTGGCTCCTATGGCCTGGAGGTCCAGGTAGACTGCTTTTGAGCATACGATGGACTGCTCATGTTTGCTGGGTGTTTACTGTTTACTAAAAGTGGTTATTATATTCATTAGCTAATGATTATCTCACAGTTCATGGCACCTGTCTGCCTTTTAAATCGTCAGTGTGCATTCAGACAGTAACCCCACAGTCTCAAATCTCTCGTTCCAAAACCCCAGAACATTCGACATCACAAGTTAGTGGGGCGTGTTTTTTTTTAAATATATTTTATTGATTTTTTACAGAGAGGAAGGGAGAGAGATAGAGAGTTAGAAACATCGATGAGAGAGAAACATCAATCAGCTGTCTCCTGCACAAGTACATTTGTTACAATTGATGAGCAAATACTGATACTATTATTAACTGAAGTCCATAGTTTACATTGAGGTTCACTTTTTGTGTTATGCAGGACTGTAGGCTCGCCTGGGCTCTCTGTCTGTGGACTAACTCGGGTGCATTTTCCAGCACCTTCACTGGCAGAACGTTTTCCCAAGTTATTGCCCCGGGTTCTCCGTGCCCTCATGACCTCCACCGTTTCCAGATCACTCCCCGGCCTTGACCCTGAAACCCTTAGTGGTCTACACCCTGTTCCTCAGTAGGTCCCACGTCAGCTGCCTGTTGGGGAGAAAGTCATCTAGGTGAAGTGGTTTATGCTCAAGAAGACATGCCAAGTCTATCAAACCACGTAAAACCCCTGCGTCACTGAAGCATGAGTAGGTGTTAATCAGGATCCTGTGCAACACGCCTGTGTCATAGTTTGGCATTGAGGCATCTGGGCCCAGTTTCAAGGCCTTTTAAAACATGTCCACTCCGTCGGTGCTAGAGATTATAATGATGTGGTAACAGATGATCTTAAACACGTAAAACCCCTGCGGCACTGAAGCATGAGTAGGTGTTAACCAGGATCCTGTGCAACACGCCTGTGTCATCGTTTGGCATTTAGGCATCTGGGCCCAGTTTCAAGGCCTCTTATTTTTATTATTTTTTTAATATATTTTACTAAGTTTTTACAGAGAGGAAAGGAGAGAGATAGAGAGTTAGAAACATCAATGAGAGAGAAACATCGACCAGCTGCCTCCTGCACACTCCCCACTGGGGATGTGCCCGCAACCAAGGTACATGCCCTTGACCCGGATCAAACCTGGGACCTTTCAGTCCGCAGGCTGACGCTCTATCCACTGAGCCAAACCGGTTTCGGCAAGGCCTTTTAAAACATGTCCACTCCCTCGGTGCTCGAGATTATAATGATGTGGTAACAGATGATCTTAATAAGACTTGTTTTCTCCTTTTCAGACCAAAACTAGTATCCTGGAGAAAGATGTGACTATAGAAACGTTCATCTGAAACAAGATAGTTTTCTGTCACAACACCACTGCACAGTGGACAGCAGGAAAAGCAGGGATGCGCGAGTTCTGTGATGACAAACCGGGCTTCGAACTCGCATGAGAAAAAAGACAGGGGCAAGTAATTCAACTGCTAAGAGTAGGTGTTGGTGACCTTTCCTCTTCTTTCTACATTATCTTTTAAAGGGAAAAAACCCCCACAGGGATCTGTGTTTAAAGCTGCTGTTAGTGGTTTCTAAGTCTAAGTAGGGATGCTTGGGGAGGGACCTTTACATGGAAATCACAGCCTCTGAGGGTGGCGGGGAGTGGTAGACCCTCAGAGTGCTGCAGGCTCTGTATTCACCGCTCCTGTCCCTTCTTCGTGCAGAGAGCACGCTTTGCCTCCGCTGTCCTCATTAAACCCGGGACGGTGTCGGGAGGGGGCGGTCACACTGCAGGAGACCCACGCAGCTCAGCGTCTTGCGGGCTGTCGTCGCTGCGGGCCATGAGGATGAGCACGAGGATCTGGCGCCCAGCTCGTGGTCTCCAGAACGCATCCCCGATGGGCGTGGCTTTCTCCTGGGGAGTTTGTGGGGAGCACTTGGGTCTGATTCCGCTTTGTCTCCAGGCTCGGCTGGAGGTGCACCGGTTTGGGATCACGGGCTACGGAAAAGGGAAGGAGCGAGTCCTGGAACGGGAGCGTGCGGTCATGCTGGGCGCACAGGTGAGGGGCTGCTCGGCCTCCTGCCACCAGGCAGGACGCGGCCAGCCAGGGCAAGGGACGCTGGGAAATGGGCGCAGAATACAAAGTGATGACGTGTCCCTTTTCTTCCATTGCAGCCTCCCAAGAAGAGTTACGTGAATTACAAGGTTTTGCAGGAGCAGATCAAAGAGAAAAAGGCAGCCAAGGAAGAGGAAAAGAGAATGGTAGGTGTCATGGCCTTCCCTGCATTAAAGCCAGAACAGAAAGGAGGATGCCATTTGTCACAGTGGTTGCTGGGCCCAGCTGCTTGGAAAGGTCTAGACCAGCGGTTCTCAACCTGTGGGTTGCAACCCCTTTGGCAGTCGAATGACCCTTTCACAGGGGTCGCCTAA